AAACCCGCTCCGGGAAGACAGACACGGAGCTCTGCAAGATTGTGGAGAAGAATTTCGATCTTCGCCCTGGGTGAGTGGGTGGGGCTCTTGGTCGGAAGCGGTTTGGACATGGTCGTGGGTGTGGAAACGAGTTTCCTTTTCCGGTTATTCTTTTTCGTTCGAATGATGTCTTCGGGGATTTTGGGGGTCTTTGTTCCGCTCCTTGTACGGTACTCTTGTCGGATGAGAAGGACGGCAGGTGCTTTTGGGGAGATAAATCCAGCCATGCCTCTTCTCATCCCGCACTTATTTCTCATGGCTCATGGTGCCCTGTCACCCCCTCGTGCCCCTACCTCTCCCCCTCCCTTTCTCCCTCTGTCCCTCCCTATCATCTTTGATCCGTCCGGTAGCTGCATCCAACGCGACCTGAATTTGAAACGGCCCATTATGACCAAGACGGCTGCCTATGGGCACTTCGGCCGCAACGATCCGGACTTTACCTGGGAGCAGGTGAAGACCCTGGAGATCTAAGCAAGCGTTTGAGGAGGGGAGGGAGGGAGGGAGGAGCTCTTGGGACCAGGAGACAAGAGTTGAGACACCCCTCCAATTCCTCGCGCCTGGTCACACATGGACGGGGGAGTGCCTGACGTGGGAAAGAGAGGCGGGGTTTTTGAGGGGAAAGGGTGATATTGCGCGTGGAGACAAGCAGTAGAAGGGCGGGGGTCGTGTTTCACGAGGGTCTTGGTCGGGGAGGGAAAAGGAATGAAATGAAGCGAGAAGAGGGTTTAAATGCATTCCCGAGGCGTAAGCAGTGGGGGTAATTTTAGGGTGTCCGGCCGTGTACCTGGGGTTGGAGGACGCAGGAGAACCGATCGTATGCGGGCCTGTCGCTAAGGGAAGCTCCTTGCCGTCCCAAACGTCTGCGTTCGCGCCTTCTCGGAATGGAAGGAATTTTTGTATTGCGGACAGATGTTCGGTCCGGACGTTCCCTGTGCTATCCTGTGTTATCCATGCCATGCTTCCGTGCTCTACAAAAGTTGGAGCCTTTCCTCGTGAGGAGGAATGACGGAGGAAAAGAGTAACGGCCTACTTCTCGAGAAGGAAATGCGCGACAGAGACTCTTCCTAACAAAGCGAAGCACGTCGTGGACATGTGCGGGGCCGGACTTTTTCTTTTTCTTTTTTGGGGGACCTCGATTGGATTTTCATTACGGTGCGGGCGGGGGTCATGCGAAGGCCGTCGACCCTACTCCCTCCATTCCCCCTTCCATTAATCCCGTCTTAACGACCACGTCGTCCTCCAACCGGCTCTTTCTCTTCCTTCCTTCCCCGCCCGCCTTCTTCACTGTCGCTGCCTTTTTCACGGGGGACGGAGAAGACACCCCACTGCCCTTCAATTTACGGGCTTGCACCTGTTTGTTTACTGAGATTGCCTCCTCCTCGTCCAATATGCCTGGGATGGAAAGGGTAGGACACATGACGGAAAGAAAGTAATACGGGGAGGCAGTGTGACGGGCAGGTGAGATCTTGGACGGGCGAAAATACGTAATGGTGTAATGGTGAGGGCCCAAAGTCAGAAAAGGGGCACAGGAAGCCGACGACGAACCGTAAAGAATGCAGTACTCCTGGGCCATGAAGGAGTTCGGGTTTTGTTGGTATAAGGTCTCGTAGAAGATGCGTTCTGATGTGAGAAAGGGGGAGATGGGGTTGTGGAACAACCGGCACTTGCCACTCGAGCCGAGAAGTCAATGCACAGACAAGTGAAGGCCTACCTGGTACGCCGGGGGTGGGGGTGGGGTATTTTTGCCCCGGATTCCTTAAATGTATGACCTCGGTGCCGTCCTTCTCCTCTTTCTTGACCACCAACGGGACTTTGACGTCTTCTCCCATGGCGTGGTTGGCTTTACCGATGGATGCGACTGTAAAAGGGCACAGCCGGAAGGCAAAACAGGTGGGAGAGAGAGAGGACTCGTGAGGAAAGAGTTTTGCCTTGCTGGCAATTTCGACACAGCATGTTCAACACCAGGGTCGGTGCTGCCCGGAATGACAAGTACATGCGACCTGAAAATAACACTTGCTCCCAGTCATCGACATCTTGTTCCCTGAGAGGCAGAGGCGTGAGGCGGAAACCAATTTTTTGTCGTTGTCGTGTGTACGGCAGCGCCTCGACACATGGTTGAGCCAGCGGCTGTCAGAGAAGAACACCAAACACAAACAACACCTCTATCGGCAACGACCACTCGATCAAAAATGGTTCAATTAAATTATCGTGAGGACGTGACTTCCGGATGACAGACCCGTGCCGAACATCTGGCACGCCTCGTTTTGGTGCCATAGGACTGCGTGCACGCTTGCCCGGCATCCGCGATAGTGGCGATGATATTCGCAGTCGCAGGTACGGATCCAGACCCCAAAGACTAGGAATACACGGCCACAGTGCACAACATGACACCGTCGCTTCCTTTTTCTATACGTCATGCCAGGAACATCGACGCGCAGGCAGAATTTTGATACCGGTGCCGGTAAAGAAGGCGGCATGGGAGGCTCTTTCACTTGGGGAAGTACGGACCAAGTACTCCGCCCACGCACTCGTCTAAGAACAAATGGGAGGTTCTATGTCTTCGTGCTTCTTCTCCTTACTTCAGCACATGCATTTCTTCCAAGAATGCCCAAACTCACCGCGACAAGGTACTTGCAGGCCAGCTCTCCTGTCTCCTCTAAGCCCTCGTCCTCAACCACGCCAGTTGCTACCGACGCGGCTCAATATTGGCCTTTGCTAGAGGAGCTGGTCTCCTCATGTCTGGTTGACGACAAGGCGTTTTCTCCGACCGGAACTGACGCGTCCCCATCTGTGAGACCACGGCAACGCGATGTAGGCGCCAGCGGGGAAGGGATGGTGGCCATTGGGGCGTCCCTTGCGGACACGCGCCTGGTAGATGGCCTGGAGCTGATGAAGGTCCGTCGGAACAAGGACGGAAGTGTCCGCTCCGGCTTCCTCCGTTTTTGGAACTCGGTGCCGTTGGAATTTTTTGGGGTCTCCCGGAACGACTTGCGGGTCTATGCGCGGATGCGGGAACGCGTTGAAAAAGCCTTGGGTTTCACCGCATCCCCGGCCGTGGAGCGGGTGGAAAGTGGCATTGCCATTGTCATGGCCCTGTCGATTGCCTCGGCATTGACCACGCTCGACAAACTTCCAGGGCCCGACATCGTCCGCTGGTTCGCCACCTCCTTTCTAGTCTCAATCCCCTTTGCCTACATCTCCCTTGGCCTCTCCTTCCCCGAGGTCCTGATGCGCGCGGCCAACCAGGTCCTGTTCGCTTTGAACAGGGAGTACAAAGAACGACTCCTCCGCCACGAAGCCGGCCATTTCCTCGTGGGCTACCTGTGCGGTCTCCCTGTCCTGAGCTATTCTGTGTCGGGGCGGCTCAATGCGGTGGAATTTGCCCAAATCCTCTCCTTCGCCCAGGAAGCAGCTGCCGCCGCGACCGTGCCCCAGGACTCGTCCGCGACCGGGCCAGCGATGTTGCCTTCTTTACCGGGCCCCGTGTCACGAGAAGAAGCAGAGCGATGGACCCCCCGGGGCGTCCTTTTAAAGGAGGAGCTGGCCCGACTCACGGTGGTCTCCTTGGCAGGCGTCGTGAGTGAGTACATTGCCTACGGGAAGGCTGAGGGCGGGGGGAACGACTTGAGCCAGCTCCTGGCCTTGTTCAATTTGGCGGATCCGGCCATGAGCGACCGAGAGCAGGAGCGATGGTTGAATTGTAAGGAGGGGTGGGAGGGAGGTGATGCCTGTCTTTTCCCTCCTCCCTCGCCCTCTTTCCTTCT